TCTATTTTGGTTGTTGGAGGTATAGAAGTAAAGATTTATGAATAAAATCGTAAAGACTAAGATTTCGTTTTTAGCTGCGAACACTTGAATGGTGCAAATACAATACGAAGTCATGCTTAAGGAAGAAAAGAAAGGAAAATTTTAACGTGATGTGAATTTCGTTATCCCTCGATGTATTCTCATTCAAGTTTGGGTAAAATATGTTTTAAAATTCTCTCCTAACAAGTAAAACGGTCGTTACGAGAACAAGGATGAAATTTCTGTCAGCTTTGGGGACACATAAATTTACTTTTTTCTCCTCTATCTCACTCTATTTTGGCTTTTTTCCTTCATCCTTGACAACATTTGCGTCTGTTGTCTCATCGTTTGATTTCAACTCAAATAAATGCTGGTTTTTACCTTTTGATTTAATCCCCAATGTCATGTTTTCTTCATTACTTCATTAAAGCTTTCTCTTGTACAAATTATTTGTTACTGAGACAATAATGTCTAGAAAATTTTTGAGAGTCTTACACTTTGTAGCAGATTTTACTTGCTGATTAGTCTTTTTACATATATCTACGTTGACGATGACATTGGGAAAAATTGTATTCAAGGATGGTTCTTATTTCACTAAAGTATTTAATATCAAAGTCCTTAGTGCTTATTATATATTTAGGGAGTAACCGAATGATGCTGATTTGAACTTTTCTTTTGAAACAGACAATTTTCAAAGGTTTAGTATTTAATCTCCTTTATACAACAATAAATCTTGACTAATGCTCATAAAATCAATATTGATTTTACGCACTCAAAGATAATAAACAGAAAGAAAAAGATAATCACTTCGAATTACTTATATTATTCTTGTGCCGTAAAATGCAAATGACAAAAAAGATTAAATAAACGAACGAAGTCATTGTCGTAATAGTACCTAACATTAAATGCGAATAGGAAAAGTTTTTCATTACACAAAACATTACGAAATTGGATTTTCCGAAATTTATTGCACGAACTTGGACAACAGAAGAGTAATTTCCATGAAACTGTGTCGTAAACTTGAATCAGCATTGGTTGGTACCAAAACCCTATCAATCAATTTATTGTGCACACTATTTGTCATCTTTATTATTAAAATATCTAATTATTTGCCTGGCGACTCTGTAAATTGATTGTGTAATCATCATAATATCTTAGTTCGTGTTAAAGCACAAAAGGTTTATCGCAAGAGGGAAATAGAAGATGAGCAAACAGATGTCTTTGTTCTCGATTCCCTCCTATTTTAGGAATGTCTCAAACAAAATATCACGATAGAAAATCAAAGAAAATTCCACAATAAATTGTTTTGATGACTGCCGCTTCAGTTCAGAGTTACCAGTTAATTAAGGGTTATTTAATATAATTATATCTTGTTAAGCAAAAACCTTTTTGATGATCCGATTATTTTTATAATTAGAGGAAGGTAAGTTAGAAAGATAAACAGACAAACGAATAACTTAACTCTCAGCTTTTAAGTATTCAGTATGGTTAACAGAATCATCGAGTTATATCCAGTTTTTATTTCTTTTATTGACTTCCACTCATAATTAATTTTCATTTGATTCTATGAAAGCTCATAACACTTCATTAAATTACAAAGTTTATCGTTATTAATTTCAATGAACGTTTTCTGAGCTCATTATAAGCGGTTTACTTATTTATTTTATAAATTGAAATTCTTTGAAGTTTTCATCATACGCTGATACAACAAAAGAAACCTCAAAAATGGATTTTAATTTACACATTTTATGTTACAAATTTATATATCAAAGGAGGTGGGGAGGAGGAAAAGAGAGAAAGGGAGAGAAAGAATAATAAAATTGCCTTGCAGAAAATTTCGATTAAAGTATTTACTCGTGCTTACATCCTCCGATTTTTTTTTGTGTTCACAAATTTAAGAATATCCTGAAGATCAAGGAAGAGAATTTGTGAAACATATCAAAGACATGCTGGTTTTGTATCATCAAACAAAAAATAAAAAAGAAACGAATATTTTTCTTTCGAATGCTCATTGAATCAACAGCACGAAATCATTTCCTAACAAATAATAAAAAATAAATACTCAAAGAGATAAAAAAGCTTTCATTTCAATGTTTCTTTTTTTCGTTTTGTCTTAACGAGAAACTTAGCTTTGAGCTTATTCATTTTGCTGTAAGGGATTAGATTGTGAGAATTTCTGTTTGTTCTTATTGTTACCGGTAGATTTTCATTATGTGAATTGAAAATTTATCGACATATAAAGTTTGAAAGTGATTGTCAAATAACACTGATGACTGTTCCTTAAAAATACATTGACTTTCTTTTTCTTATGATGAGATGTTGACTTTTGAGCTTAAGGAAAATATATTCCAGCTTCACATAAACATAAATATTTATTAAAACTCTTATCACTCGGATATTTCCTTTCTTTTCTTACCTTTTGTTTACCTTCAGATAACTTTTCTGCTCAGTGCTCATTTGAAAACTTTTCAAATCAGCAATAATCATTTTGTGGAATTTCAACGTTAAATTTATTGAATATTTGCCTGAAAAACAATTTTGAAAATTTGAAAACAAACAATTGACTGTCTTTGGCGTGTTTTCTTAGGAAAACTGAAGTCGAAGTTGTAAATACACAAACTTGGAACGAACACTTTAATTTATGAAACAATTTCAAAGCCTTAAGGAAACGGCGTTGGAGGATAAAAGAAGTTTCGTGGAATTAATGAAGGATTTAATTGTTTATGTTTAGTATGGCTCTTGTGAATTGTGATATAATTTATTTCGCACGAAAATAATTCCGCATCAACGATGGAAAGCTTTATTTTTATTGTAACATCTAATTAAATTATTTTTGTTAGTCAAAATTTCAAGTTAACGAAGTTTCCATTAAAATAAGCGCGCCAAGGATTATAAATTAATGAAATTTTTTATTCTAAGCAGCGGCTCGCTTTAAATTTCAGAAGTGGATTTAAATTTTCGAAACCAAGCAAATGTTAGCCTTTCGCTTGAAGCTTAAAAGTCTAAATTTATATATTTGTATCGAACAAAATCTTTTCTTTCTCAAAAAAAAAACTTTGAAATAATCCTTTATATAAACGAAAGTGAACTTGTGAAGGTTGAAGGATAAAATAAAAAAAAAGAAAGCAAAATATTGAATAGAAAAGCTGTACATAAACTTTTACAACTCTGGTGTTTAGTTTTTTCTCGTTTCTCTCTCTTATTTTTTTTAGTTAAGGGTTGATAAAAGCAGTGAAAGGAAAGAAGGGTCGTAAACTCAAAACAAAAGTTTAAAGTGTATCTTTTCTCCCTCAAATCATAAATTGAAAGCATTTTTATGGATATCGTCTTTAAGAATTTCTCAATCATCTTTTTTTTTGTAAGAGTATTCATCACTTTATCTCGATCAATCATAACTAAAGTTTTCTTACTTTATAAACGCTTCGACAATGTGTAAAATTAAAAGTCAAACTTTTTGATGATGAGAGAAGGATGAGAATAAGATCACATTAGAAAAGCTTTTAAAACAATTTAAACACAGATACTTCAGAGGATGATGATGAAAATTCACTTTTGACGCCTTCATCACATTTTAGCATAAACTTGAATGATTTATTGAAAAAGTTTTAAAGTTTTATAAGATTCATCAACACAAGTGAGGTGTTTATTAGCTTTCTCTTTGTTGACACTTTGAAACAAAGCGTGAAATTTTGAAACTGAAGTATTTATAGCTAAAATTTTATCCTTACATATGTTGCGCTTATAAAATTGTAAATCATGTAACATTGTATTGTGACTTGGAATTTCTGTACTTTTATTTTTTGATAGTAAAGCATTAATTGATAAAAATATGACAAGAATATTTCAACTACAATTTGTTACATATTGCGATAACCATTGCTGTAAACTTGTGAAACGATGTATGACATTCTTAAAAGATATAAAAATAATCTACTTAGAAGTTTGAGTAAATTGAGAATTTCAAAAAAGTCAACATCTGTTGTTGTTAAAGTATCAGCTTACATAGGTTGCAGACAGAGTGTATATTCGTTGTTCATAAATCCCAGTGCACTTAACAAAATGAACATGATATACGAATCTCTCTTCTTCATTGCTTTCAATCAGATGTGAATCGCAATTTAAATCATTTCTGCTTTATGTAAATCACAAAAGAAAGCGCATCGTGCTTATGTTGAAACTTTTGTCTACCTCTTGGCAAAAAGATGTTCAACTTTCTGTTTATTTATTCAACATAATTAATTACAATCTCTTCATCTTCTCTCTGTAGCCAGCAGATCATCTTTCAATTTCAATTCTTTTCCACTTTCAACAGTTCTATTATTCAAATCTAGTGAATTAATTAATAATTTGTAGAAGTCTTATTACTCTGATTTATAATTAATAATAATTAGAACCTTTTAGTGCTACTGTAAAGTTTGTTAAGACTTTCTGCTATCAAAATGAACGCTGAAAGGAATTTCTTAATGATTTTTGTATAAAGTAATTTGCGTCATTCTTGAGGCTTTTTTAATGATCCACTGCAACGTTATCGTGAAGGAAAATCATGTACAAAACATTATTGTAACTGAACTTTCATAACTTTGTAAGAGCCTCTTTTAATGCTTCGAGATAAAAACTTTAATTAACTGTTATGATGATGGAGATTACAAAAATGATGTTGTTCCACGAAAATAACATAATTTTATAAGTTCAGGGATGATAGCACTGCATAAGATAAGATTACTCAGATTAGATTGTTTCCTTATTAGCTCTCAACAAAAAAGGAAAATCTTACAAGTTGCTGACAGCTTGGCCACTCTTTACAGAATAATAAATTTGCACTTTAAGAGAAGAATAATATTTATTAATAATGATTAGGCTTATCAAATTTTAAAACAGGATAAGCATTGCCTAATTAAGATTTTATATTAGCAAAATAAAACATAAGGAATTGCTCATATTGCCGTTAACAGCTTTGAAACATTTTTTTACGCCTGTTTTTTCATTTCTTTCAGTCGAGTTGGTAATGTGGCCCCAGGCGAATTTATAACCCAAAAAATTTCCATAAAAATGATCCGGATTTTTTGTGTTTTCATTTCTAACCCTTCTTTTTTTAACCGGGGTCAGCTGAAAAGTGAAAATTATTCCATCTATACAGCATTGCGCAGCAAGTAAGAGCTCAGAGGTTTCAAATTATAACTCAACTTGTTGATCTTTTGAATAGAAGACGCTTGGGAGTAAAAGAAATGAAGCTGCTACATAGCACATAGCACCAAAAATTGGTAGCAAACCTTTTCCTTGTCCAAACAGACTTTTTGCCATTCTTTGGCTCTCTTCTAACCCGTCCAACTAGCTATATTAGTTTATTTTTGCTAAAGAACAAAGTTTTCCATTAAATTAAATTTTCAGCAGCATCTATGTTGAGCTAACAGACCTATCTGTTGCTTTCAAATACCCAAAGCTTTAATGTTTTCCTCTCCTTCAATAAAATAAAGGAAAAAGTTTGAACAAAAATACTTTTGTTTCTAAAAAGGTTAATGTAACATCTCGTGCAGTAGTTTTTCTGTTTAAAATTTAATTTCCTCAATTTTTTTTTTTGCATTTATCTAGTTTAAATATTGATGTTGTAGTGTAATTATAAACTAATTCAATTGTTAACATTGTATTCGTAGACTTTAAAATCAAAGTTTCCACATGAAATTTGAAACGAAACAAACTATCTAAATTATTAAAGGCTTTTAATGAAGCTAAACATCATCATAAATCTGATTTCAGTTCATTGCACATTTATATTGTGATAATCTTCATAAAGATCATTCAAAAACAATTTATCATCATGAGAATCGCGGATAACAATACTCAGATTCAGAGCTTTTATTCGTTCAATTCATAATAACTTTTATCAGTTTTTTCAACCACATAAGATTAATGAACTCACAATGATCATTACCCAATTCAAAAAAATAAATCACTTTTTCAAATTATTTTGGGATGAAATTGTTTCAACAGTTTCTTCACCTGCTTGTGCTTTCCTTTTTTAAATATTTTCTCACTTTCGATGGAAACTTTTCCATTCCTTTTAAGATTGTTTCGTACATCCTAAAAACAGAACGAACGTAGAAGCAAACAAAAAGTAATTAAAAAATTGTTTCGTGCTTGCCAAATTCAATTTGCACTCGCGAGACTTTAATTACCCTGTTAAATGAGTGAATGAACGAGAAAAAGCGAGAAAGAAACGAAAAAAAAGTTTTAAGACGAATCTTCAACTCACAGTGAGAAAATTAAATGCTTTCACACCATGATTGTCAGTAAGATTAAAGGAAAAAGTAGACAGAGATGAATAATACAGTCACTTTACAGTATTTATCATGTTACACCACGTAATGTTAATGATTTATAACAATATAACGAAGTTGAGACATTTTAGTTGATGAAAACGCGCGCTTATCCAATTATTCTTAACATTCAACATCAACATCATCATTGGAAGCCACCTTTGCTGAAGTAAAAGTTTCAAGCCGATTAGTCAACACATGCTTCTTGTTAGACAAAGTTATGATGACATACACATCAGCTTTCTGTCATGGGTGCTTTTCAATGATAACTAATCCTTTTTAACAATAAATCCAATCTTTGAAAGATTAATGAGGGGATAAAGTGAAGTAATTTCACAATTAGGAACTTTTAAATTTAATTTTGTTTTTTAGACATGCTCTATGATAGTAAAACAATTTCAATTGAATTTTTATAATGTTCGAAATAAATTTTTCTAGATGAACAATTTTAATTAATAAATTTTAATTTATTTCACCACACGGGAATGTCACTAAATCCCAAAATGACATGTACTTCCATATCCATATTACATATACGAAACTTGATAGAATAAAACTGAACCGCAAACTTATTTGATTCAAACTTTAAAGCTTTGGTAAGGAAAAATTTCTTACGTCGTTAAAAAGAGTCGTAAAAATTTTATATTTCTTCATCTAGATATTCATGGCAGGTTTATTGAAAGAAAGCTTTCGTATTTAAAATTATTGTTGGAAAATTGATCTCAGGTGAAATGGAAAATTCGTTTATGTTTCTTTTTAATGTTCAAGACACAAGTTCTTCGAACGAAAGAAATAATACGCTGAAAGTTATAACTTAAAACTCAACTGAAAGATATAAACTCAGAACCAAATAATTGAGTTCTATAAGATGTTTTAAAATTTTCAAGAGTCTTTCGACGAAAATTTTCACTTGAAATTCTATTTCAGTAGTTTCAAGTAAAATCGTCAAAAATCATGAACATGGAAAAGATTAGTTCAAACATAACTTGAGAAATATTTATATTCAGATATAGTTATGTTTAAGGTGACATTTTAAGCATCTACGATTTGTGAAGATTTGAAAAAGTCATGAAACAATAACAGAAGTTGTTGAAAGATGTAAAGAAAAAGAAATTTGGATTTAAAAGAAGGAAAAATTATTTAAATTACGGTGAGAAATTCTTTTCTTCTTTCGCTCTAATTCCTATAGGAATGTTTAAGGAACGAAAAGATCCACCGAGATGAAAGCTTCTTTTTTTCATTTCTTCTCTAAAAGCTGCGAAGAAAGAAATCCTTAAAATGGTTCCAGTCCAAGGACTCGCGAGAATTGCTTCTTAATTTATGGATGAAAATGAAAAGTGAATGGCTTCATGCGCCTTCTGGAATTTCTGCTTTCTTTTTTGCTACATAAGTTAATTCAATCTACAAAACAAGAAGCAATTCTCGCTTTTACATTAACACTGTCCAACTCGAAGTAAGTGGGAAAAAGTTTGCTTCGAAGTTTCCATCAAGTTTAGGAAGATTTATCTGATTAGTATAAGCAGCCATTTATAGATATTCCTCTCACTTCTTTCGACAATTGTACATCCAAAGATAAGTTGAGACAAATAAAGAAATGAATTACGATAACAACGATTTTTCTAGTTCATTCGATTATTCTCATATTTTTGTTTCCTTTTTTTCGCACCAACATTTTCAGTGGAAATTCATGCTTGATAACACAAAAAATTCAAAAAACAATTTTTCTATTCAGCTACATACAAACACAAAACATACCTATTTCACTTTCCTATGCTATAAATATTGAATCATTTTCATGAACACAAATTGTAAACGTGACACACTTTGCTAATATCATAAATACATGAAATTATGGTAGATAACATTCTATGTACATTCCATGAAATGATTGAATGATTTTTAAAAATTAAGTACCTACTTTTACTTATTGCCAGTCTTCTTTCGTTCTGGGAGTTTATTTCTAATTAATAACGACTTGTCTTTCTGATACTTAAGTACTTAACTATGACAATATCCTGTCAAAAAAATTCTTCAAACCTCTAGAATGAATTAATAAAAAGAAAAGTCTAAAAACTCCATAAGAAAATTCTTATAAGTAGCAAAAAGATATTTTGTTACAAAATACCTATATTGAAAAGATTTTGCAGTTTCACTTGTGTCTATTGTGATAAGTCTTATCATGAATTTTTCATTACTACAGACACAAGAATAAATAAATATATTTACTAAGATAGGGTA